CTCGATACCCGCCCTCTTCGTCTTCGATCGAGCCCCTTTGGGGGGGTATACCTTTCTTCCCTGCAGGCCGGGCCCCGGCAAGCGGCGGGGCGGCCGCGCACCGTCGGCCTGGCCAGCGGCAGCGCTGATCGGCGGGGCGGCCGCGGACCGTCGACCCGACCCCAAGAGGGACGGACAGGGGACCGACCACGACGACGACAACGACGACGACGACGTCGACGACGACGACGACGACGACGGCGACGACGACGACATGCGAAAGCGAGAGCGAGAGAGAACGACAGCAGGGCCACAAGGACACGAAGTAGGCCACGAAGGGCAACAGCGGGGACACGAAGAGAATGCGTATGGGGCCACGAAGAGCGCGAACGAGCGGGGGCCACGAAGGGCAGATAATACGGGGCCACAGAAGGCAACGATGGGGCCACTGAGGGTAGCAACTGGGCCACGCAGGACAGAAGCATATGGGGCCACCACGGGCGAGAACGAGCGGGGGCCACGAAGGGCATACATCTATGGGGCCACGAAGGGCAGCGAGGGGGCCACGAAGGGCTGCAACGGGGCCACGAAACATAGCGAGGGGGCCTCAAAGGGCTGCAACGGGGCCATGAACGGCAGCGAGGGGGCCACGAGGGGCAGCGAGGGGGCCACGAAGGGCTGCAACGGGGCCACGAAACAAAGCGAGGGGGCACGAAGGACTGCAACGGGGCCACGAAGGGCAGCGAGGAGGCCACGAGGGGCTGCAACGGAGCCACGAAGGGCAGCGAGTGGGCCACGAAGGGCTGCAACGGGGCCACGAAACAAAGCGAGGGGGCCACGAAGGGCTGCCAGGGAGCCACGAGGGGCACCGAGATCCCGATCCCTAGATAATCTGCAAGGGAGTCCTTAGCGTGAGCGCGACTCTTAGGTGCCTGTGTGTCGGGAGCGCGGCGCTTGAGTACATTGCAAGAAATTCTAACGCAAGGGCGGTATTCTTCAGCAAATTGCAAACAACGCGTCCAGCGAGAGCGCGACTCCAGAGCGCCGGGATAATAAATGCTCACGAAATCCCCGGCGAGAGCGCGATACCCGAATAAAATGCGAAGAAGTCTCGGGCGGGAGCGGGGGTCCTGGCTAAATTGTGAGGAAATCTCAAGCGGGAGCTGCTGTTGTTGCAAACCGGGGGCCAACAACACAGTTTGACGCTCAAGACTTTCCCTGATAAAAAACAAGGAGCGAGCCCCGGGAAAGGCACTTCAATAAAAAACAATGTGCACCGAACGGGGGGATTAACAATAATTATTCTTCTGAAATGAGAACTCCACAACCACAACCACATCCACAACCACATCCACAACCACAACAACAACCTCAACCACAACTACCACCACAACAACAACAACAATCATGTTGTTAAGACCGTTCGCTCTTATCTGCTTGAGTGTCCGTTAACGCGTATTACACAAACCCTCGATACCCGCCCTCTTCGTCTTCGATCGAGCCCCTTTGGGGGGGTATACTTTTTTCCCCTGCAGGCCGGGCCCCGGCAAGCGGCGGGGCGGCCGCGGACCGTCGGTCTGGCCAGCGGCAGCGCTGATCGGCACCAACCCGACCCCAAGAGGGACGGACAGCGGACCGACCACGACGACGACGACGACGACGTCGACGACGACGACGGCGGCGACGACAACGACGACGACGACGACAAGCGAAAGCGAGAGCGAGAGAGAGAGAGAACGACATCAGGGCCACGAAGGGCACGAAGAAGGCCACGAAGGGCGACAGTGGGGACACGAAGGAAGCGCGTATGGGGCCACGAAAAGCGCGAACGAGCGGGGGCCACGAAGGGCAGATAATGCGGGGCCACAGAAGGCAACGACAGGGCTACTGAAGGTAGCAACTGGGCCACGTAGGACAGCGAAAGGGCCACAAAGGGCGACAGCGGGGCCACGAAGGGCGCGAACGAGCGGGGGCCACGAAGGGCATACGTATATTGGGCCGCGGAGGGCAAGGACGGGGCCACTGAGGGCATCAACGGGGCCACGACGGGCAGCGAGGGGGCCACGAAGGCGACAGCGGGGCCACGAAGGGCATGCATATCAGGCCACAACGGGCGCGAACGAGCGGGGCCACGAAGGGCAGCGAAGAGGCCACGAAGGGCTGCAACGGGGCCACGAAACATAGCGAGGGGGCCTCGAAGGGCTGCAGCGGGGCCACGAAGGGCAGCGAGGGGGCCACGAGGGGCAGCGACGGGGCCAATGAGGGCAGCGAGGGGGCCACGAAAGGCTGCAACGAGGCCACGAAGGGCAACGAGGGGGCCACGAAGGGCTGCAACGGGGCCACGAAGGGCAGCGAAGGGGCCACGAAACAAAGCGAGGGGGCCACGAAGGGCTGCAACGGGGCCACGAAGGGCAGCGAGGGGGCCACGAAGGGGCTGCTAACGGGGCCACGAAGGGCAACGAGGGGGCCACGAAGGGCTGCAACGGGGCCACGAAGGGCAGCGAGGGGGCCACGAAGGGCGGCGACGGGGCCACGAAACAATGCGAGGGGGCCACGAAGGGCTGCAACGGGGCCACGAAGGGCAGCGAGGGGGCCACGAGGGGCTGCTAACGGGGCCACGAAGGACAGCGAGGCCACGAAGGGCTGCAACGGGGCCACGAAACAAAGTGAGGGGGCCACGAAGGGCTGCAACGGGGCCACGAAGGGCAGCGAGATGCCGATTCCTAAGCGATCTGTGAGGGAGTCATGGGCGTAAGGGCGACTCCTGGGTGCCTGAGTGTCGGGAGCGCGGCGCTTGAGCAAATTGCAAGAGATTCAATCGCAAGGGCGGTATTCTTCAGTAAATTGCAAGCAATCTCCAGCACGAGCGCGACTCCAGATCGCCGGGAGAGCGATTCCTAAATAAATCGCAAGGAAGTCCCAAGCGAGAACACGATTCCTGAATAAAATGCGAGGAAGTGTCGGGCGGGAGCGTGGGTCCTGGCTAAATTGTAAGGAAGTCTCAGGCGGGAGCCGTTGTTGTTGCAACCTCGGGGGCCAACAACAAAGTCTCAGGACGAAAACTTTCTCTTGTAAAAAACAGAATACGAGCGCCAGGAAGGGCACTTCAATTGAAAAAATGCAAATGTGCACCAGAGGGGGGATCAACA